TCCCCTCTTGACGATAGCGTCGACCCATCGCTTCGCTCCTTCCCTCCATTTTCCTTGGCTGTACCTTGAGAACTGCGGGATGCAAACAAAGAACTCCGCCATAGCCCACAGCACTTGCAGCACGCCCTTGACGTCTCGGGACATCATCAGGCCCTGCGCGTTGGTGGCGAGCCGGAACCCTCTCCTGTTCAAGAAGTCGATGATGGTGGCGAAGTTGAGGAGCGCGTCCTCTTCAGTGCGCGGAGAAAGTTCGGGAGCAAGCACCTTGCTCGCGTCCAGGGCATCCACCAGTGCAACCAAACACTGAGAGTCACGGAAGGCTGCTCGCAAGTCCGAGGGGCATACATCCCCTATCACTGACGCGATCCAACTTCTCAGGCAGCTCAGCTGCTCCTCCTCCTCCGCGCTTGCCTGCATCTCTCCGTTGCCGCCCTCAGCTGTCTACCAGATCGCCGCCATGCCACGTGTCCCAACAAGCGCAGGAAAACTCTTCGCTGCCTGCATCGGAGGAGATTAGAAAGCAGGCTACTGATGCACATGAGCGCGGGACAGGGCAGGGGAGGAGTAGAGTGCAGAGCAGAGCAGAGCAGAGGAAGAGGAGGAGGAGGAGGAGGAGGAGGAGGAGGAGGAGGAGGAGGAGAGACTATCTAACGAGGGAGAGGAGGGCGCGCGAAAGGATCAGAGCATGTATCAACCATTGGCCATGGATTTCAACTTGCTAGCTGACCTGCACGGCTGCAATGGCACATGCGGGGACCATGGGGCCGCATGTGCAGAGTGGGGCATGCGCGCAGGAGGCGACATGCGAAGGCGAGGATGGAGCTCCAGGTGCGGTCCTTGTCGTCTCCTCCCTTCTCTTGCCCTTTTCCCCTGCCATGCTCCTGCTTTGTCCTTCTGATCCGGATGATACTTGCTGGCAGGAATCAGCAGTGGGGGAGAGAAACGCTCTGAGGAGGAGGAGGAGGAGAGCGAGTGGATAACAGTGAGATGAGGAGGGGAGGAAGGGGAGAGCAGAGCTGACATGCTTGCTAGGGGCAGGTTCTCCGCAGGAGGAAGATGCGTCGAAACTTGCTGTTGGTGTACATGAAGATCGAGGGAGAGGGCGAGGGAGGGCTGGTGTTGCTGGTGATGTCTGTGGAGACATCGTCCAGCGAGGTCTTCGAGGAGTTCAGAGCGAACGTGCGGCCAGGCGATCGCATACGAGTGACGGGGAAGGTGCAAGAGCCGGGGGTCGATGCCGTCGCATGTCAGTTCGAGGTCTTTTGCAGGGACTTTGCGATAGAGGAGAAGTGGGAGACGGAGAAGAGGGGCTGCTTCCAAGACAGGACAGCAGCACTCGTATCTGGTCCGAGCATGCAGGAGGAGATGAGCGTTGATCAAGATGCTCCTCTCTGCAAGGCGTGGATCAACACAGGACAGTGCTTGAAGGGGGCAGCGTGCAGGTACCGACACGACACTGGGGGGGAGACGATCGGCAAGGCGCGAGCGATGTGGGTGGCGGAGAGGAGGAGGCAGAGGCTGGTCTGTAGTCTTCTGTCAGGAGCTGAGGACGCCTGACGCCCTCCTGCCCTGCAGCAAACTCCTTCTG